ATACTTCAATAAATATTTTAATTTTGACAATTTTACTCCAACAATTTAAGAAAAAAATAAAAATATTAGAAAATAATATAAATTATATCTCGAGACTTCATGTAACAGCTTAAGTTTTTGGGTTGAAATAATTCTTTAACATGGTATCAGAATGTTGATAACCAACTAGTCTACAGTTTGAATCTCACTGAAGTTTGAATCTCACAATCCCTATTTATTTGATAAAAATTAAGTATTAGATAATTTGACCTCACTTAATAATTTAAACTTTGGGATTGAGATTGGATTAACTGTTACAGTATATTTGTGAGTTTAATAATAACTATTTTTTAAAATATTTTTTTGTTTGAAAATATATTAAAATAATTTATTTTTATATTTTTAAAAAAATATTTTTAATATAAATAAATCAAAACAATAAAAAAAATTATAAAAAAAAATTAAAATTTTTCTGAAACGCTGGAACACAGTTCAAAGTTTCTCCTTTGATTAGTTTGTGCTGGAACCAAATGCACGTTTTGGACTCTTTCTAATCTTATGTTTTCAATCACTATAGTATTAGTGGTCAAAGCCGGCGAAGCATCGACGAAAACCACTAATTAGTTTATCATGGCCCATTTGTGAAGCTTACAATTTCATGATCTTTGCCCCATTCTTGTTCAGGAACCAACTTGTGGTAAACAAGGCATTCGTCTTATTCATGTCGAGTGAATTTTAAACCCACTTGGCAAATCAAGTGGGCTATTTTATATATTACTACTTCTCAGGAGACTGAGCACGAAGAAGAGCAATAAAAACAGAAAATGGCATCTTTGGTAGGTGTGAGATATAAATAAATGCTTTTATATCTTATTTTTGTACGAAAGTTCTGTGGAAATCGGCTACCAGACCGATTCCTGCTCGCCGCCCGGCAACATCATGATGTTCGTAATGCTTATGCGAGGAATCTTATCACAGGCAGGTGTATAGTTATTTGAGAATTCTGGACCTGCAATTTGCTTCCTTGTTCCTCACAGACAATGGTTCAGTGGAAAACACTGGCTCTGAGTAAAACGCCTTGCATGGTGCCAGCTTAAAGTTTGGCGTGTTCTATCAGATAGCAGCTAGCCTGGTGGACTTGTGGAGATTCACTAGGGACTGCATTTCCCACGCATCTCACCACAAGCATAGTAAACATCGAATTTGAACACCATTGTTGAAAAGGGGTATGTTGTTTCAAGGTTTTGAACAACAGACTTGAATGTCTGTTTCAAATGTTAATATCTTAAAGCTTCTACCAGCTTATTAGGTGAAGGAACATGAGCTGAATTAATATGTCTAGACTGCTATGGTGTCAGTAAGTTTATCTTTCTGAGCTACTTGACTGAATGAATAGAACACACAAATTAATGTTTTAAAACATGGAAACGAACACATACATAAAGCATATGGAAGCATCTTAATGTCTGTAGATCTGTATGCAAATCTGGGGACCATGAAGGATGGATTTGGACTGTTTCATGGGCCTAATTTCGAAGAAAGTTATCATTTCTTGGTCTTGGTTTAATCATGGGGTGTGCATATAGAATTAAACTCGAAAGCTTATTCACTATCTAGAGATTTGGCTACATTTTCTCTTGAAGCAGATGGTATTCATAAATTTGTTCCAAATTGACTTCTGATGTGCCAACAAAAAAAGAAAAGAAAAAGCTGAAAGGCTTCATCCCGCTCGCTTGGACTCAGCCTAGGCATGCACAAATCACTATTAAGTCTCCATGAACATTATCTTGAGATACTGTAACTAATTATTTCTGAGGATAAAATTTACATGAATTAATAGCAAAAAAAGAAAAATTTGCAAGGTTTGTTTTTAATCTTTTGTCAGTGAAGCCTTCCAAACATCTTGTCTGAAAGGTTTGGGAGCAAATGATGTGCGAAACAAATAAAAATAATAGAAGCCAAAAGACTTGATGCAATTTTCCTGGGTCAACCTTGGTGAGCTGGGCTATCTCAAGGTAGCAACCTAGCTATGGAAAACCTGAACTTTTTTTGTCCTTTTTTATGCATATTTTTTACACCTATTTTCTCCTACTATTTTTTTTTTAAATTTTATTATACAAATATTTTTTAATTTTTCTATACATAATTCCATAAATTCTTTTCTCTTTTCCCACACAATTTTATAAATTATACTTGTTTTCATGCCAAAATATTTATCAAGAAAAAAAATACAATAAAACAGGTTCTATTTTCCAAACTAATTAAAGCTCGTCATCATATATATTTTATTGTCTTTAATTTAATTTTTAAAAGTACAGAATCATTTGTCTTGCTTGCTAGAACTATCATCTTGAAAAATATAAGCTATTGAAATTTTTTATAAGAATCAATTTTTTAATCAATTTTTAGAAGTAAGGGAATCTTAAAAACTACTAGAAAAAAAGAAGAAAATGTTTTTTTTTTATAATTATTATTTATTTATTTTTAAATCAACTAACATTTAAGATTAATTTAAGCATTAAAAAATCCTCATTTAAAAAAAAAAGAACTTGTTTGACAAGCTCAACAAAAACCAAGAGTTCATCATCTAGAAAAACTCATTTCTGTGTGAGGTTTTCTACGACTTTATCAGCTTCCAATTTTGATATTTTCCTAAAAGTAAAGCGGAGGAAGGCATAGAGGTGGATTTCCTCCGTCCATGATCCAATAGAGATTTGATAGAGATTAAAGGAAGTTCATCGTTTCAACTTTTTTTTTTTTTTTTCAACGGGAGAGCAATTTTGGGAATTAGAATTACAAGGAGGGTGTAATTTTTTTAAATAAATGGGCAAGGCTAGCCCATCATGAGCAGCCTACTTCGAAGCCCAAATCCAACATTTCCTCAAACTTAGGGAAGCTGTCTGGCACTGGAATTGATTATGAGATTGTTTGGGAAGATGGTTTAATTTATATTTTTTAAAAATTTAATTTTTTATTAAAATTTAATATGATATATATATTTTGGATTATTTTGATATATTGATATTAAAAATAATTTTTAAAAAATAAAAAAAATTATTGATATGTATTTAAATATAAAAAGTTATTACCATTACTATACTGTCAAACATACTCTCAGAGTAAAAAATTAAAATCTTTCAACCTTAATATAAAATAATAACAAAAATGATTGTTAGATTATTATTTTTTAAGTTTATTTAAAATTTATTTAATAATGTGATTGTGGTTATTTTTTAAAATGTTTTTCGTGCTAAAATATATTAAAATAATATTTTTTAATTTTTAAAAATTATTTTTAAAATTAACTATCAAAATATATAAAAATATTAGTTTTTAATAAAAAATTTAATTTTTAAAAAAATACAGTATAAACAGTCAAATCCAAACTCCTTTCCTGACCCTGAAAGTTTAGGTAACAAAACTATGGCACAAGGCATTCTCTATTAGGGGAGAGATTTTTAATTAGTTCAGCTAACAAAACCAGGCACAAGGCTGACATTTTTTTTCCAGTTTTTCTTTGAAACCAAAGGAAAGCTATTAAAACTGGGTTGATCTAGCATTAGCATAAGACTCGAGTAATGGTTAGATAGATTAACTCAAATAAATTTAAAATAATATCTTATAAAGTTTTTTTAAAAAGGTTAAAAATATTGTTTTGAAGACTAAGAAAAAAATTAAACAAATTATGAACAATTTTCGAGGTAATCTATCAAGTCTACCAAGCTGGCTTTCTAAAACCACCGCGAGTGGATTAGCCAAACCAAGGTTTAACAAGGATGACCCATTTCCATGGATTTCCATACAGTTTGACATGAAAGTTTCTTATTCAGTTTTTTTTTTTTTTTCAAGGAAAGGATTAAATTATCACGTTGTACCTTTTTTTAATTTAGATAGGAAAGCCTTCACCATGTTCATGATTTTAAGCTTGAAAGGAATCATTGTACTTTCTTTTCTTATTCAACAAATGCAATTTTTAAGCACTTTTAACAATTTGTTTTCTCTGATAAACTTCAATGAGGCCCTTGAAATAATGAATCATTGCCCACTTTCGGCACTGGCTGGTGTGGTTCGAAAGCTATGTCTGAAGTGCCTGAATACTCATTCAGGCACTGTTATTAGTGGAACTTGAGGGCTCTTAAGTACCCGTCCAAGGATGACCAAGACAGATTCATTGTGAATGGTGATTTCTTGGATCATCCACAAAGATTAAGAAATTCCTGGGATCGGTAAATAGTTACTGTCTTGGATCATCCACCACCTCTATTGCCTCTCCAAATAAGATATTTTTCTGTTTTCTTGTCACCTCTCTCTGTCTCTCAGCCCTATTACGTGCTTTAAAGAGCCTTCTTGGGATCTCGGATCATGACTTGAATACAAAATGAAAAGTCTTCTGATCTTTTGAGTACATATGTGGTAATCATTTTACAATCATATATCATGTGTCTAATCCCTTTGAGTACAATCCTTTTAACAAGTTGAACATGGCAGATGGAGGAAGCTTACTCTACTCATACTTTATATATTTCGTAGAAGTTCTCTTGCAAAATCTCTAGCTGGATGAAGATATTGGAAACAATGTCCAAGGAATATCAATTATTTGTTCAGTTTCTTTAAGATACGGCAACCAAGGCATCAAAATGATTATAATTGATGCCATCGAAATGTGTTAACAATATAATTAATCGTCATAAATGCTGCTCATATCTGCAGGCACATGACTAGTTTTATTACATGCGTCTCTCGGACTCTCCAAAAAACAAAGAGAGAGAGAAACCTAAAATCTTTTTCGGGCATGTAAGAATCCCACAAGGAAATCTGGTAGCATGAAGGGATTCATTTTCAGTTGCCTAATTTTGAATGGTTTAGCAAGAGATGCACTTTTTTCATGTGGCTAGCACCATGCAAGAGACATGATTAAGTAGTTGGCATGCATCCCATGTTCAACATATGGAACCATGCATGTAGGCAGAGAGAGAGAGGTGAAGTGTCATTATGCACCAAACTAGATGATCAAAGTTTTATGAGAAGGGAAAAGAAGAACGTGACTTTATTGCATATTTGATGCTGAAAAAATTGTGACAGGGGATATGAGGGAACTGAGGATGGACTATACATCCCAGAAACTCCCCCACAGGAAATTTTGTACTAACCCCTCTATAATCCAGCTAACTGGACATTAGCCCTCCAATGGCACAATTTTCCCCTCTATATACAATCTGGTCATTCAAAAATGAACCATTATAAATATTTTAGTGAGACGCTGAAGAAACTCATGGATGAAGTCCCTGGTTCTCCTTGAATCCAACTTGATGCAAGCCTCAGCATACAAGTCTGCAATCTCCATGGAATATAAATTAGGGCATCTCCTTTGATGGATATGCACTAGCACCAGGTATTATTAAGGATGACCATCTCATTGGCATGACTAGGTTCATGAACTTCTCAATGGTTCATCTAACAGTTGCAAACACTCTTGTGGATTGGCATAGAAATAATCTTCTTCCTTTGGTTTATCTGGTATAACAACTCGCGTCTTTGGACTACCCATCCGATCAGCATGAGCTTCCTTCACAGTAGAGGAGAATTCATCCCAGCTCAATGAGCCTTTGTTGTATTGATCAATTAAACCAACCAGAAGCTTTCTGTCCAATGAAATAGTCTTCTTGAATCCTAAGAATCTGAAAGTCATCAAAAGACAACGGAAATTAACCATCTTCAATTGATGTTTTCTTTCTTTCTTTCATTTTTCTTTTGGAACTCTAGACACTACAAGGTAAATTAAATCTATCAACTACAAACTCCAGATTATTTAACACCAATAAGTCCTCCTTTAGTTACAGCTAGCAATCCTCTATTTTTCAGATTAAACCTGAATTAGTGGCAAGGACTTTTATGCTGTACGTGGTATAATGGTTACAACAGATGTCCATTTAGGACATTTTTAGTTCATTCTTTATAGCTAAGCTCTCAGTTCAGTTGAGAATGTGTATTAGACATAGCAGCAATGAATTACCTGCGATGACCTTCAACAACTTTAGCCATATTGCCATTATATGTAGGAACAAATATGTCACTCTCCAAGGACACCAGATAATCTAGTGCCGCCATTTGAGATGAATGATTCTGGAAAAACTTCAAATCTGATGGTCCCAACAGAGTTTCTTTCCTGACCTGTTTCAGGTTAAAAAGGTGGATTAAGGCATTCATTCATATAGATGTTACAAGAATTTGGTGCTTCCTTCTACTAACCAAATTAGGAAAAGCGGATGCCAAAGCCTTCATCCTTCTTTTTCCACCATATATTTCGCCAGCAGCAATATAAATTTGAACATTACGGTCAATTCCAAGTGCACTTAACACAAGGGCAGTTTCCTCAGGTGTCAAAGGACACAAACCTTCTTTCCTTTTCATTTCAGAACTAATATCTTTTTCCTTCCACCAGGGATAAGCATATCTGACCAAGTGAAGTTTGTGAAAGTTAGTTGTGTTTGAAATTAACAACATATTAAGAAAATAATAAAGAGAACAGTACCTCATTCTTGTCAGTTGTTCTGTTTCCTCATCATTGCAACCGTGAGTGCAGCCAGAGAAAGCCAACATGTCCATTTCATATCTGAGATGAAGCACCAGGAAAGGGCCTCTCTCCCTCAATATCCTAACAACCCTTCTACCCAGTTCTTCTATCTGTGATGTAAACTTCAAAGCATTAAAATTTACACGGCAGCGCAACTTTTGAATCTCAATAGGAAGTCCATTATTTGCAAGACGAGCATCTGTCTTGTTCAAATGTACAACTTTGTACTTTTGCAGCAGAGGAAGAATCTGTTGGCAACAACATTCTAAAATTAGTCGCACTGGTCCAAATACATAGCAAAATGAAAAGGAAAATGAAAAGGCTAATAATGCTCGCTTTAGAATTCTAGTGAACTAACCTGATGGGTGTAGTAAGAGATGTTTGACCAGCTAACTGGAGGTAATGAGTAGAACAATCCCAATTTTACTCGTGTTTTAAGCCTAGGCGGTAGCTCTTTCAATATACGAACTTCATCCCTCAAGGAAGTGATGAAATGATCAACATCAAATATGTCTTGAAACTCACTGCCTCACAGTGAAATCAATCGATTGATCAGATAGATTACAAACATTTCTGAATTGAATTTGGCAGATATTTCAAAGAAAGAAAAAATCTAGTGTTTTTCAAGACTTTATACTAGCAAACATTACCTTGGGTCATTCCAAAATGAGGATTTATCCAACTCTGGGACAACAAGAGTAACATTTAGATATCTTGCAATAGCGACCATGTCACATATCTGCATAGCATGTTCAGAAGTGTCAACAACGCAAATGGTTATAGCAGCAAATTATAGAGACCATTCAGAATCAAAGGCGATTTCAATATAGATAATTTATGATAAGTAGAAGTCAACTCACTGCTGCTCGCATTTGGTTGAGTCCTCCATTGCAGGAAACCATGAGATATCCATTATTCTTGTAGATTCCTGCAAAGCAACAATTACCAAATTTAGAAACTAGAAAAATAAATTTCAGAAGTTTAAAGGGAAACTAAAACAACAAAGTGAGAAATGATCTATAAGATGAACAAATTAAAAAACTTGATTTTAGTTACAGGCAAATCAACAATGGTGCAGAAACATTAATTATAGTCATGATCAGGAAATCAATCCATGTCAGAAGAACAAACGTATAAGCAGAATGAAAGTGCAATAACTCAATAAAGCAATTTTATCCGATGAATAGTTAGTACAAACGATGAAAATAAGGGAATATATAAAGCAAAGCACCTGACACCTCTACCTTAGTGAATATCAACAACTTTGTAAAACTGTGTCATTTCTCAACAATAATTAAGCTGAGAATGATGAAATTATGAACTTACTCTTCGGAGGCAGAACAACTTTGGCAGGAACAGAAGTTAGCTCAACATCTTGATTACTAAAACAAGAGGGCCAACTCTTTATCAATCTCGGCCCCCAAATCTCTCCCAAGGCCAGTAAATGGACCACGCAAGTCCATAACAAGACAGTTGTGATTGCCCTTATCATCCACAGCTTCATTGAAGACCTTGAAACCACAGAAGTTTTCAACTTATCAACCTTTCCACCACCGAAAAACTTCACTTTCATCTCCCATTCCTCAACAGAGTCCTCTGTCTTCCACATTTTTAACATTTCTTTCCCTCCAATATCACCAAACCCACTTTAACAACTCCCTCAATACGAGTCAAATTAAAGATTTAACAAAATAGATGCTCTCTCTTCCCCTCTCTCTCTCCTTACTTGATCTTTTGTATTTAAATGTATTGTCGGATATTGCTCGCTCTAAAGGAAACGGAGGGATTCTTTGAACTTGATTAAGATGATGAAAACAAAAAACCTTGAAGGTCTAAAACCCTTCCTTGTTTCTATATATATAAAAAATCAATCAAAATAACCAAAGACACCAGCTTCATGTTCTTTCATTACTTTAATCTCCAGAAACACCGAACTCCGTCAGCTTACAGAGCTCCTAAGCAAATAACTACACTATCCAAAGAAATCCCACAAATGTATGCAAGGATTTGAACAAAAACTTGACAAATAAAAATCCCAGTTCGAGCTCAATATTGACAATCTCTCATAAAAAAGCTCGCTGATCCGGCAGTGAAATGTGGTGAAAATGTGGGTTTTGAAGATTGAATGATTTGGAGAAAGAGAGAGAGAATTCTTGTTATTATTTCCCGACGAGATTCCCGGCGATTTGCCAGAGAAACTTGTCGGAGAATATGTGCGTGCGTGTGTGTGAGAGAGAGAGAGAGATAGAGGCAATGGTGTAATGGGAAATGGAAAGAGAGGAGAGAGCCGGTAATTAAGGAGGAGAGGTGAGTGTTGAGGTTTTTAACTGCTCTGATCTACTGTTATGTTAATGTTGAAACCGTATCCATTAGGATTTTCTTTTACTTCATCATTCAATTTGTCTTTGTCTGTCAGAATAAGTTATGACTCTCTTTTCTTACAAAATGAACAAAACATTTGGTAAGGATTACCAATTATACCTTCTAAAACAAAAACACAACAAAACTGTTATTAAACACGATGAGGTTTAGGTTTCTCTGAACTACCTTTCTCGTCACATCAAAACTTGTTGATTTAAAAAAATTAATTTGAAATGAATAGCATTTAGACTATGATAAATGCAAAATGTAGGTTAAAAACCTTATGAATTTTTTAAATTATGGATATAATGAATATAAATTCCTCACTACATGTAGTTTCCGTATGAATGATGAGCTGGAACTCAGAATTCCCAAGTTTTTTTTTTTAATTTTATTTTGCAAGATAAATTTATTAACACGAATAGTTCTCTCTCTCTTTTTCACAGACCGAGACGATGAACTCACCGTGAATGGTACACGTGCCAACTGACCACATATAGAATCACTGTGCTTTCCACGGACATTTCCTTAACAGGAAGGGGGGACAGAATTACAGTACAGTTTTTTATTCTTGGTAATTAAACAACTAAAACGGGGGTAAATTAGGAAGGTGAAAGCTGAAGAAAGTAAGTGGCTTGGGGAGGATGGGCCCACCAAAAGAGAAGATGATTTTCATTAAGGTTGGAAGCATTGGACAACACGTCAGCAAATTATTGGGTTATGCTGTAGCTTTTGTAATGGCTGACCATGAAGGATGGAGGTGCGCTGCTATCTTGGGATTGGGTTTGACATTACATAAAAATAAATTAGATTTAATTTAGGAAAAATTTGAAGTGCTGTATTTATTAGTGCTGTATTTTTGTCAAAAAAAAAAGTGTTTAAGTTTATAGTTGTTTTTTAAAATAAATTTTTTAAAAAATATATAAAAAATTAATTTTAATTATAAAATTAAAATTTTATAAAATATAATTTTAAAAAACACCTAGAAAAATCAATGAGAAAATGATAGTGTTATTATGATTGGAAAATATTTTTTAAAAATCTTGAATTTTTTTAATATTTTTACTTAATATGTTTTTGATATTTTTATATTATTTTGATATATTAATGTTAAAAATAATTTTTAAAAATTTAAAAAATATTATTTTAATATATTTTAAAATAAAAAATATTTTAAAAAATAACTGAGAAACACCCTCTAAATTTGTCTCTATCTACCGACTAAATTTCCTTTTCTTTTAGATGACTAAATACCAAGTAGGTCCTTTTCTTCTAGCTACATGAAGTACAAGAGTTTTTATAATACCAGCGGAGTAACTATTTATACATACTTCTGACAAAGAGATTGATAAAATAAAAATGAATATATTTTCTACTTATATAAAAATATTCGTATCATTTTTAATGAATTTCATATTTAATTTAAATATTTATACTTACTCATTGAGCATTATAAAATCTTATTAATGATGAATGGAAAATACAACTAAGATAATTGATGAATTTTACTAATTGTTGATAGTGGCAGAACAAATCCAAATCTAAGAATCCAAGAGTACTCTAGGAAAATATATAGTGATGCATTTATTTCTTTTAATTTAATGATTGGTTTGGGTATTAAGTAATAATTCTTTTATTTTTTTATTTTAAAAAAATTCAATTCCTAACAAATATTATATTTTTTTTCTTACACGTGTGTGGGCATGCGAGCAGGGGAGAAACACAGAGGCCTTGGTCCTACTGTAATAACAGTGGGTAGTGTCCCTCCTACCAAAGAAGAAAACTGTGGTGCAGCATCATTATTATGAAATAAATGTAGATCCCAAAAACAGAAGAGATGGTCCTAATCCCATGTTAATTGATGTCTGCAGGTGGAATTATAAATTGTGATAGAAAATACAAAATGCTGTCCACTTTACCTTACAATTGCTACAAATGCCTGGGATTCTTCTTGTGGAGAGGCTCATCTCCAGCAAGGATCTTTCAGTAGATTGAAAATTAAGCTGTTTAATTAGCTAACTAGTTTATTCATTAATTGATATATATATATATATATATAC